AAAGGCCGTAGGATTTCGGACAAAAAACGAGCCAGTTTGTAAGTGGGGGAGTTGATAGTAGAGACAATGGGACGAAGAGGTGTATCTTCTTTATGTATCTTTGGCAAGCCGTACAATCTTGGTGGTCTGGCTGCAGAAGAAGAATAAGGTTTAGATGGAAGCATATTATAGAATTTTTACGAGGTAGAATTGTAATGTATTACTTGCTGTTAGTAACTCAGCTTATTATAGAGTATAGTAAGTATACTGATGGTGCGATGCAGTTTATACTTTAGTTTTTTATGTAGTTTATACTTTAGTTTTCTACGTGGTTGTTGAGTAACTGCAGCTACATATCATTAACATTCCTTTCCTTTGTTACTGCTAATCCCTGCACCCCCCTTGGTTGCTGCTGATCCTGCATAATGCATGGGCATAATATGACTTTGACACCCCCCCGCCCAACGCCTACGCATTTTCCATGAATATGCTAAATTCCTCTTCACATGCACATTCTTTTTGTTAAGGCGCTCTTCAACCCCCAATGCAGCTTATATATAAGCTCCTAGTTTGGTAGTGTCTCATTCTTCACCTGAAGACGGCTGCTTGCGTTGTAGCCGAAACGTCGTGAGAATTGTTTTATTATGTTTTATTTTTATTATTTTATTACTTCCCTTCTACGTGACTTTACCGAAAGAAACAAGAAGATGAATCCCTGCAGTCACGAAAGCTTTAAATCGAAACTGTATTTTAACTGCACCAGAATGTAACCAGGTTTGCAAGTCAATAGATGAACAAAGGTTTTGGGTCGAATCAGACAACTCTGATAGTTGTTTACATGGTATTTTGGTTTTGCAACACCTGTAATAGAGCCTGGCAGAGCAAAAATGCGTATGATGTGAAAACCACTGGACCAAGGTGGAAGGGTGATTGTTGGCATTGGCAGGAGATGAATACAGAACTTTCTATTTTTCAATGTTGCTTAATTCTTTCAACATTGACACAATGGACAATTCGTGGACGGTTTAAAATATATTTAGCCCAACCTGATTATACATTACAGCAAAATTAAGTGCCGTCTAAACTATGTACGATGCATTTATTTGTTATATTTTGACCTGGGCCATGAATTCGCGTCTCTCGTACGTTAATTGTAATGGCTGTTGAGCAGTAGGGGTACTCAGAGGCGATCTATGGATCTTTTAGGGGACCACTGCAATGATCAGCGCATCCAGACGAGATGATGCGTTCCACAGGGAGAATGTCCTTCATGGAGGTTGTCTAAGAGTGTGTCCGTGGCAAGGTTGTCGATGATTTACATGCACCTACCCTGGTCAACACAGCCCATGAGTTTGTGAGTTTTGGTTTACTAATTATGTAAAAATAAGAATGGTTTTGCACAAGGAGGCTGCAAAAAAACCAAGTTTGTGATGCAATTAGCTTGTCACATGAACGTTACCTGAGACGCCTCTGTGTAAATGGCCTGATATAAAAACATTATCATAGTGTGCGCAAGAAAACTATAGAAAAATGTAATGAAGAAAATACTTCATGGAAATATATACAAAAATGAACATTTTAACAGTGTTTTTGTGGTATTCAAAAATCATGGCATATTTGATTTGGTAAGATGGTTACTAGTTGGGGTGGAAAATGGCAATGATTCTTCATAATGTGAAAGACTGAAAGCTGCTCTCATGAAATGTAAACTTTATTTTTAAAAACTAATTTACACGAAGCGACATACGATTTGCTACAACAATCCGTAATATATCTAACACATTTGGAAATCGATGCAGCTTAATCGTAATCTGGTGAATAAAGAATTAAAATGTGTAAAGTTAAACATGTGTGTGCCTGGGTGACTTTTGGTCAGATCTTGAGATTAGGGATATTATAAAAAGTTATTCGACTTTATATCAAAACCTCCGCCGCAGGGGCCGATCGTGACACTGCTGGCACAAGGCATGAACAAGTCCAATCAGTTCCAAATCATTTTGTGCCACATCAGTCCATCTCTTTTCGAGCCTGTGCCACACCTGTTTAGACCCAACTAGTCAAACAGAAGTTGATTCGGCATGCGGTAGATGGGCATGCAGGATATATGACCCAGACAACTCAGCCTTCGCTTGACAGAGGGGCTCACTGATGATGGGAATGCATCCATATCTTTGAAGGATCTGTGAGCTTCTCACACAATCGTTTGGTTAAACCCAGGATATATTGTAGGCAGGCGAGCCTGAATGTTTAATACCGGCACAGATGTTCCATTCGAGGACTCCACATTTCGCAAGCATAGAGAAGTGACGACATAACTGTGGTGGAGAAAACCCAGAGCTTTGAAGTGATAGACCAGTATGCTTCTACACAGCGTTCCACAGATAATGAAAATATACTGCCACTCGAGTGATTCGGATTGAGACATGGGCTCCCACAACAGGAGCTCGTCATCATCACACTATCCAGGTATGGAGCATTTTATGAAATAAAATACCCAGGCAGGTACTTTGTGTTTGTGGGGCTGATGCTAAGGCATCATCTATTCGTAGCGAGCACCTACTAAGGCCGGAAGAGTCCACAAGGGGGTATTGGGTGGCCAGCACCACACCGAACCGCCTTTGTCTCCGCAGTAGCGATGCTTACCACACCAGGTACTCGTTTTAGGCTGAGTCGCCCTAGGGGAAGTCCTGGACCGGTTCAGATTATCGTCACTGGTGTTGGCGTTGAGCGGGAATCGGAACTTGGTTCGCCAGGTAGTGCAGCGCGTTAACCGCTACACTACCGCTCCCCATATTTGTTTCTCTCACAAACTCTCACACTTTTTCTGTGTCTGTGTCACTCCCTCTCACGCAAACACACACTCTTTGTCCCTCTCTCATTCTCTCTCAATGATCCACTCCGTCTCACGCTCTGTCTCAAGAACAGACGCTCTCCATCACATTGCACACTCTCTGTCCCTCTCTTCTTTCCACACACACATTCTGTCAATCGCACTCTCTGCTACACCACTTATTGTCTCGCTCTAAAACTAACTCTCTCTGATCTCTCCCTGTCCATCTCTCGCACTTTCACGCACTCTGTCTCTCTCTGTCACTCTCTCGCTATCTGTGTATCTCCCTGTCCCTCTCTCACACTCTCTGTATCTCTCCCTGTCCTTCTACACTACCGATCCCCACACACAAAGACAAAGCCTTAACATAAATTTGGGGCAAGTGCTGTTTGCGAGCACCTATTAAAAGCCTGCACGTACAAAGGGGGGGGGGGGGGGGTGGCCAGCACTACGCCCGACCGCCTTTGCCTCCCCAATGGCGATGTTTAGACACCGCACTAGACACCCATTGTATGTATTTTCCATTCAAGTCCGCCGAGTGATTGACGAACGCGTTCGTGTTTAGAGACCACCAGCCCTGGACATCCCGGCCAGGCTGCACGTGGTGATCTCACAGACGCGCGCCCCCCACGTGACCCGTGGCGACTCTATTACGTCACGCGATGACGTAGGACGTGACGTATGACTCAGGGGTCCACCGTCACCACAGAAGCCGTTGGTTCCGAAGAGGAGGAGCTCAATCTGCTTCTACATCGCGTCTTGTAGGGATTTGTTTCTTTATAAAGATACACATCTTCAAGCAGGACATCAACAGCGCTACAATGAAGACCAACTCACAAGGTTTGTGTGTGTGTGGTCAACCTGCCGTAGCGCTCACCAATAAATCAGAATCAGTTTTTTTTTTTATCCTGGAAAAATCCGATGAGCTATGAAGCTGTTGTTTAACATGTACACGATAAACTTTATTACACACCACACACACGGCTAACAACTCATCATCCGTGTAAAATAAACACACATATAGGGGCCGTCCATAAATGACGTCACACACCTAGGGGGCGGGGTCAGACATTTGTGACGATGTGTGACGAGACGGGGGGGGTGAGGAATGTGACGTCACATAAAAAAGCGCCACTTTAAATAAATATAGAATTGTTATAACACTCATTTTTATTAATTTTAACTATTAACTATTTGATCATTTAAATGTACTAAGGTCACCTTTTATTTATTCCATGAAGGAGCATTTTGCTTCTCCATGGGAGAATGGAGAAGCATACATTTTGAATTTTTTTAATGATTGTTATTCAACATTTTGATTCTAGGTGATTCTACCAGGACTTTTCATTCTGTGGAATGAATATGTGATTGTTATAATTGTACTCTCCATTTTGCTTCGTTCTACTACAAAGTTTCAAGTATTTTTTTTATAGTTCTAATTACTTTTTATATTTTATAATTATAAGATAATTTCAATGTAATATTCTGAACATCTGAAGTTTTAGTTAGGCGTTGAATATTTTCAAGTGAATTTTATGCTAAATTTAAGCTTTCCAACGCCTCATTTTATACGTGTTTTCTCCTACAACATCAGAGTGCAGCGCCACATTAAATACGCACTACAATGACAATAGTTTAAAGCGATTTGAAGCATGTTTTATTTTCAGTTTTGCGGGGGGAAGGGGGCAGAGCTTTGTGACGTCATATTTGAGGGGGGGATCTGACTTTTTGTGACGCCGTGTGACGAAAGGGGGGGGGGGGTCAAAAAACGTCCCAAATCGCGTGACATCATTTACGGACGGCCCCATAGCACAAGCGACAGAGCCGGGGGGTAGCTGAGTGGGGGCACAGTGATGGGTAGAGGGAGACGCGGTGGTGGTACAGCTCAGTGATGGGTAGAGGCAGACGTAGTGGTGGGTACATCTCAGTGATGGGTAGAGGCAGACGTAGTGGTGGTTCCTCTCAGTGATGGGTAGAGGCAGACGTAGTGGTGGTTCCTCTCAGTGATGGGTAGAGGCAGACGTAGTGGTGGTACATCTCAGTGATGGGTAGAGGCAGACGTAGTGGTGGTACATCTCTGGGTGCTGCTGCGCAGGGGGTCGGCGCCGCAAGCGAGGAGGTCGTGACCCGGAGGAGGAGGAGAGTGCTGCCAAGCGACGGCAGTCCATGGAGATGGACCACAAGCACAGTCTATGCATGCGGACGGTGGTTTTTGGAGGTGAGTGGAGTAGAGAGGTGAATCAGTAGAGGGTGGAGAGTGAGTGGAGTGGAGTAGAGAGATGAGACAGGACAGTTTAGAGAGTGTGTGGAGTAGATAGATGAGACGGGAGAGTTAGGAGAGTGTGTGTAGTGTGTGTAGTAGAGACGGGAGAGTTAATAAAGTGGAGTGGAATAGAGATATGGTGAGGTAGGAGAGTGTGTAGAGTAGAGTGAGATGAGACGGGAGAGTGAGGAGAGTGGAGTGGAAGAGAGATGATATGGTGAGGTAGGAGAGTGTGTGGAGTAGAGTGAGATGAGACGGAAAAGTTCGGAGAGTATGTGGAGTAGAGATATGAGGCGAGTTGGTCTGTACCCGTACCTGAGGTCGCATCTGCACCACTCCCTTGATATATTCTCTTTCTCAAACCTTCCAGACGGTTCCTCTAAACTCCTCAAATCTCCTTTCCTGCCAAATCTCTCCCCTCCAGTCCTCAGTCAATTCCCTGCCTCCTCCTGCCCAGCTGCAATCCTGCCGCCTTCCGTCTGCACGAGCCCTTCTCTCGCTCCCCCCCCCCCCCCACACAGTTAATTGCGTCTCTGCGCCACCATCAATTCCTTCGCGTAAATTCTAAACTGAAGCCCACTGAGCAATAAAGCTCTTTTGCGACCTGGCCACAAATGATAGCCCAAAGAATTGACTTATCGAAGTGTGGAAATGTACAGCAGCCAAATAATCGAAACGCAAATTGATTCTACATGCGGAGGGAAAAATCGGAGGACCCGGAGAACAATTCACATGGCCACGGGAAGAACGTGCAAACTTCAAATATGCAGGCATCAGGGTTGGGATCAAACCCACGACTTCCTCTATCACAGGCGAGGTAGTTCACATCCTGCCACTGGGGTGCCCCTGATCCACGCATTCTTGCCTCCAAACCCCCACACCCCCCTCTTGTGTGCGCAGTTCCTGACGAGCGGACAGCGACCAAGCCTGCGGCCCCACGACACGACAAGTCCCGGAGCCCCCTGAGAGTGCGATGCTCCGTGGATGAGGAGTCGATTGGGTCCCGCATGTGCACTGTCAGCAGTGGTGGTGGTGGGGAGCAAGGAAGAGGTGGACCACGCCGACAACGTTCCCCACGTTCCCCACTCTGCCGCTCCCATCTGGTGGATGAGAACCCCGATGGACCGAGTTCCAAGTGGCCATCGTGAGTAGAGCTGCGAGTGCACACGACGTGTGTGCATGTGTCCGTGTCGAGCAGGGTGCAAGGTGGTGGCGCAGTGGGGCCCATTGCCCTACAACAACACCAGGTTGACCCGAGTTTTATTCCCAGCCATGGCTAACATCAGTGACGAGCAATAATTGAACCAGTTCATATTCTTAGGTGTTTTTCGGTAAAGTCACGTAGGTAAAACATTAAAATTAATAAAAGTAAAATAAAATAAAAATCACGACGTTTCGGAAGCAACACAAGCTTCCGTCTTCAGGTGGAACCGTCACAGCCCGACAGCTGTATCAAGTAAATGAGAGATTACAGGAGATACCACTCTGTATATATAATGGTTGAGGGGGGGGGGGCAGGGATGGCCCACTCTTTATTATTATGATAAGGTGCGGTTTGAGACTATGAATAGACTGCATAACAAAAGACTGAGCCGTTATTATGGAGAGGTTCGGTTTGTGACTACGCCTAGCCTACATAATAAAAGTGTGAAAAAAGAAGAAAGCTAAACCTGGTAGAAAGCTAAACCTGGTGAAACAACTGGCTGTCCATCAGTAACCTGCAATAGTTTTCTGTCAAATAAGATGGTTCAAATAAGTGTAGTTAAATCTTTTTTGCATGGTTAATCACATCTTTCCAATGATTAAAGGTGCGGCTTGAGACTATGAATAGGCTGCATAACAAAAGACTGAGCCTTTATTATGGAGAGGTTCGGTTTGTGACTATGCCTGGCCTGCATAACCAGTCCCTAGTCTCTCCTAGGTCGACTCAGCTTAAAAAAATAGTACCTGGTAATGTAAGAATTAGCAGCCAAAGACAGCCAGATGTCGTGCTTGTCATTGTGTGATGGTTATATTTTAATAGCTCGCTGACAATACTTTGCCCCAACAGCCTTCTTCGTAGGGCCATTGCCCAAAACGTCGCCTATTATATATATATATTTTTTTAAGGCCACAATGTTATTGACTGACGAGTTTCTTCCCTATCCCACACGTCAGCGGATGTAGTCTACCAGCAACTTGTAAGATCGAAGTTTAAGCCCTGGGTGCACCCTTGACATAGCCTAATTTAAAGTGTAGGTTGGCATAGCCAGTACAATGAATCCGCGTTTTTTTTGGTGTTCGGCCACGTGGTGGTAATTCTTGACGTTAACCCTCTACCACCCAACGAGGTCGCAAAATTTACAAGATATTCATCATTTACAAGATATTGTTTACACTCGCCGATGTATGGATTACATTCTGTCCAATGAAGCTCCTCGCCGGTGGCTTACGACTCTTCACTACCGACGTTAACATGAATCAAACTTGACACGGTCTCCGTTTAAGTGAACCGCATGCTTCGCTCGCGTGTCTGCCTTCGGCTCGTCGTTCACCGCTGCGCCCTCTCGTTGTGTTCCAATCAGAGTGTGGAGCAGGCTGGGTGCAAGTGTTGCGCCGCCGCACACCACCTCCGGTCCCGAGGGCCATCGGTGGCAGCGGCCGAGCGTTGTCCCACCGGTGACGACGCGGGCCGAGTCGGCGGAGTCCCGTGCTCCGTTGCGCAACATCAGCCAGGAACCATCCACTTGGTACCAGATCACGGTAAATGCAGTGGCCGCACACATGTGGACACAGTCGGTGGTTATCTCCATGGTGTTATTGGTAAACATACAACGTGCTGTCTGCTTTACAGTGGACCTTAATTATCCAGTGATGTCATATGCTGGCGTTATGGTCCGAATAAAGATAAATGACTGCAAATTACACAATCAGGATGACACATAGCAATATTGCCCTCTCCTTCCATGTTTCTTTTGCAAAAAACATGGAAGGACCCTCCACAAAAAAAGTATTGAGCTCTCTTGAATAAAAACGCATTATAATAATAGTGGCAGATCCAAAGGGGGGTAACAAGGACAATCCCCCGTATAGTCTTTAGCAAACTGTTGGGGCAGGTGCTGTTCGTGGACACCTTTTAAGGCCAGCATAGCACCTGAGGGGATGGTGTGGTTGGCACCACACCCGACCGTCTTTGTTTCCTCAGTGCTCATGTTTACACATGACACCAGCTCCTCATTTAAGGCTGAGTCGACCTAAGTGAGGCCAACAACCGGATCAGATTAGTCTTCACTTTTTTTGGCCATGAGCGGGAATTGAACTTGGGTGGCCAGGGTTTGTAGGGCAGTGTGCAAACCACTGAGCCAGCACTCCCCGCAGACACACGTACACGTGCAGGCTAACACATTGCTTGGGGTCTTGTTGGCTTGGTAGGAAATTTGGGATTGTGGGTCTGGGATATGACCTCATGGACTAATGTTTTTGTTGGGACAACTTTTTTGTTGTTTGTGCCTTTTGTTTTGGTGCCATTCCTTAATTTGTTTATTCATTGCTTGGCATTGGATGTATGTGGGATTTGGTCCAAAAAATAATTAATGTCCAACGTTGTGGGATGCTTTTAGCATGAATGATGCTATATAAAAGGAAAGCATTATTATTGTTCACCCCTTGCCACTGCTTCTTGTGTCCCCAGATTCCTTTTGGAAGGAAGTACGGCAAGGAGGGGCTGCTGCAGTTCCTGCAGCAGGGCTGCTGCACGTCCTTCACTCCGTTGCAGGTATGAGCGCGAGAGATTGAGCGATGTGTTCAAGCTGGACTGCCTACGATCCATCCTGGGTTTAACTATCCTCTGTTTAACCAATTGGTCAAATGTCCAAAATGTGATTTCCTATTCATCACCGTATGATCTTGTATTTGAATAACAAAGTGATGGTGTCGATTTGTCAGATGTGGAGTGGGAGGGTATTCCAAACGGTAGGGGCTGTGCATGAGAAATCTCGTCCATCAATGGGACCATGGCCACCACGCTACACCACTGATGACAATACTGTGCCTCTCTGCAATATTGTGTCTGTGTGTGTGTTCTTCTCAGTTCCACTTTGAGGGAGACATGGCAACATTCTATGTGGCTAACTACATGGCGGCCTTGAACCTCAAGGCGCTGTCACGGAAAATTGTCTTTCCCGACAACTATAGGGTGAGTGCGTCGGGGAGGCAGGAGGCGATAGGCCAACCGCTATATGAGCTGTAAAAGTTACATCAGTTGTTTATAGCCCCCCCCCCCCTTCAACTGAAGTGTGACCAGGAGATCACAGCATATCAATCGATTGTTTAATATATCTGTCCAGAACTTTGAGCGTACTTGACTTGAATGCGTACGTGTTTTTGCCCCGGACAGTGCAGCTTCTGCCTCCAACCTAAATGCTCATTCAGGGAATTTGCCGAACAATCCTAATACAGGATCCTCGTGAAGAACAGTCTTGAGGCTGAGAAAGACTCTCCTGGATAATGAGAGGGCATCATTATTATCCTCATGTAGCCTTTCATAGTGGCCCCAAGAGGTTACTCGGTTGTTCCATTGAAATCCCCTGGGATGGCTGGAAAGACAGCCGGAGTGGACTGGAGTGCTAGGCCAATAGGTGTGCAATTATGCATGGGTTAAATGCATTTCAGCACACAATGCATGCGTTTAGTTACACGTGTAAGAATAATTTTATTTCGGGTTGAATAGCTCATATACCGTGTGAGCACCCGCAGCTATGAGAGATTCCAGCACTGGAAATCGTAAAAAAAGTCATAAATCATCAAACTCATTGAATTGTTGGTGGAAGCCGAGATTCATTTAAAAAATCAATTTATTTTTTCATGTAATTTTCATCTCGTTTTTACTGCTTCCCATTATTCCCGTCTAATTTTTACAATTGTCTTTGATCCATTTGCCAAATTGCTGCCCTCTTTCCCCCTAGGTACAACAATGAAACAGCATACTGAAACTGAATGCAAATCCAATACTTTACACGTGATTGGTTACCGGGGTCACTGTGGAAAATTCAGCATATCCTAGTCTCTTGGGTTCTCTCACCTGGTTGCACAACATGCACTAGAATTGTGACACATACACACAGACATGCCCACGCATAATTTGATGCAACTTTCGCGAGCGAATGGGAGCATCGTCGCATCCCTGTCGGGCTAACGAGGTAAGGTGATCCACATGGGAGGGAGCCGGCGTGCCGGCGGCCAGCTGATCGGTGTCGCTGCTTTGTCCGTGTTGCAGGCCATCGTCTTGATGCGCCCAGTCCTGGGCCCACCGCCTCTGCTCGCTGCGGACCTAACGAAGGACGACCGGCGGCTGATCGAGGTGAGGAGGCCATGCGTACAGCCGGCACGCGGCTGCTATGCTCTCACCGTGTTGGTATTTGTAATTGTGTGTATGTATTGGTACATCAGATTGTATGTTGGTATATCAGATTATTTACGTGTGTTGGTACATCAGAATGTGCACGTGTTGATACATCAGATTGTGTTGGTACACCAGATTGTACGTGTTAGTACATTGGACGTTATGACCACCACTACCTTCATCATCACATCTACTATCATTACTCTCAACACCATCACCCTCACCATTGGCATTAACTTCATCACCACCAGCACCACCACTCACATAATCATAATCACCTTCATTACCATCATTGTTTGTTACCAACAGGAAGAAGCTGAGCTGCCACAGCCACCCGCATCCATGTCCATGATGGTGCCCAAAGTCATGGCACCCTCTGCTCAGCCTCCGACTGCGCGGCCTCCCATAGCTCAGCCTCTCATGGCTGTGTCACCCATCGCTGTGCCACCCACAACTCTGCCACCCAAGGATCGGCTTCCCACTGCTCAGCTTCTCACAGTTGTGCCAACCACACCTTTGCCACTCACAACTCTGCCACCCAAGGATCAGCTTCCCACTGCTCAGCTTCCCACAGTTGTGCCACCCACGGCTCGACCTCGCAAGGCTCAGCCTCGCGAAGATCGGCCTCCCATGGCTCTGCCACCCACACCTCTGCCACCCACAGCTCAGCCTCCCATCGCTCTGCCACCCACACCTCTGCCACCCACAGCTCAGCCTCCCATCGCTCTGCCACCCACACCTCTGCCACCCAAGGCTCAGCCTCCCACAGCTCTGCCACCCACCCCACTGCCCCCCACCTCAGCCGACATTCAAGGCCTCATCGCGAACTTCCTCAAGGAGTAAGGAGCCTTCCAATTCCCCGCACTCACTCACACAGACACTAGGGTATCCCAGCCTATGCTTCCCTAAGCCATCACTATACAACTGCCCTGCAATGGAATAACCTACCTACAATCTATAGACAAGCTCATTTATTCGCTCCAACTCCTGGACTGCCTTGCCCTTAGGCATGTTCCCTCCCTTGGATGTCACTCAGTCTATATTAATGGCTATTATTCCTTATGCCAGTGTGTTCTGCTCAAGCCCACTTACTTTTCTTATCAGTTAGAATGGTTTCCTTACGCTGCATACGTTGTTTAATCCACGTGTCTCTTATTATTACCGTTTCCGGTTGTACTGCCTTCCCTCTACAGATTAGTCCCATTACCTTAATTCTATCATGAATTTATCATTGTATATAGAAGTGCAGCCCTGTAATTCCTTGCGCCTTCTACTCCACTAGAGGGAGTTGTAAAGAACCCTCTATCGTGTATTTGGCCTAGTCTTCCACAATGGCCGGACATCTTGGAAGGGTATGGAGTACCCACACTTGACCCCAACACTGCCAATTGAACTGTGGTGGACAGCTGGCTGGACAGAGGTGGGGGGATTCAATCAGTTTGCACCTTTGCTTCAACGTTCGCTTACAGGACATTACACTGGCAACCTCTGATTTGGAAGCCCAGAGTAATAACCGTTACACCACCGCATCATCCCATTATTTCTGCAACAATTCATTGTTACTCTTTTATCATCACAAGCACGACTGTATACTTGCATCGTGAACAAAAGAGTTGAGTTTATATTATGAATCGATGGATCGCGACACACTCGGTGATTTAAAGTGCGTTGTGTGTGCATTGGCAGGTACTACGGTCTTTATGATACCGCAGACCGCGAGGGTCTGCTCAAGAAGTATCATAAGGATGCCCTCATCACCATCTACACCCCCTTAGAGTGAGCAAAAAACACACACACACGTACAAACTGGCCAGCAAGGCTGTCACATGAAAGGATGAATTGGTATTTGCCACAGACCACTCTCGAGAGACCGGGTTACATTGCTTATCATCGGTACAGGCAGTTATAAGCATTAATGACAACTTCTATAGCGTCATAAAAGAGGCCATTTAAAGTGCGCTGAAACGTGCGGAGGTTTTTTCACATAGCCGCAAGCAGCGAATCAGAAGCTTGCTTTAAATGCTTCGAAATGAAATATGGCTTCTAAAACTGGAATTAAATCATCAGTTTCTGCAACGATACCAGAAGAAATGCTTTGCGAAAACACGGAAATTAAAGCACACTTGTGGATGCGAGTGTAGCCACTCCGTTTCCTAATGCTCCGGATCTCGTTTCCACCTCCAGGAGCAGCCTGGGAGAGGAGGGTACAGACAAGCCGACCCCGGAAGATTCACGTGAGTGTTGGTCATGAGCGATGTTTGCAGATCCGCGCGTCACTGTGTCGCCGCTCATGTCATTCTGTCACCGTGCGCCATGCAGTTTTTTTCTCCTTGCTCCGCACCTCCGATGCAACAGTTGACTTTGTACAGTGCAAAAGAAGTTTAACATGTGCATATCTGTCGCCACGCACATCACCACAGTTGTGTTGCCCTCCTGCCCCCTCATCCTACAGCACAGCTCAAGTGCGAGCGGCTGACGGCGGAGGACTTCATCAAAGAGCTGACGCACAAGCATCACGATATGTCCTCCTTCACCACCACCGTCAGCCGTGGCACGGTGAGCCAACTGTGGCCTTGTACCAAAACGCCCTCATTGGCATAGCCGCTGGCTCTGCTTAAACACAAATTGCTGAGCTTATGTGGCCTGAGTTACAAACCTTTCCTGTGCACAAGCCCTCAATTTATGCTTAGAATTTTTACTATAATTATTTTGACTTATTCTTTGATACCCTGATGATTACGTAAATATGTTCACCTTTAGCTTGGTACAATATTTAACGTGAATTACGTGTGTAGGGCTCGAAACAAGTGTCACGCGCTGGGTCGATATACGCGCACGTGGCGGACAGTGAGGGCGAACGAGGACACAGGGCGCTGATTGGCTAGCCGTTGTTGTCGTACCAATTAAGGTGGCGTGATAGTTAAGGGGGCTGCAGGTGGCCGGGGGTAATTGAGGACGCAGGGCACTGATTGGATGAGAGAGACGGTTGTCTGACATTGGTGCCGGCGTGTCTGCAACAACAACGCCACATGGCACCGGGGACTGGGGGCGAGTGGCGTCGCGGGGGATGACCTAATTAATGAAGGGTAATTGGTTCGGGGATAAAGGGTGAGATGGTAGAGTGAAACGGGAGTTGGTGCCTGGGACGAGATACGAACGGATGGAGAGACGGAGCAGCGGATAGAGCATAGCATAGCGTAGCAGTGGATAGAAAGAGTGCAGTATAAGGTAGCAGTGGGTAGAGAGAATACAGTATACGGTGGCAGTGGATAGAGAGAATACAGTATAGAGTAGCAGTGGATGGAGCGAGTACAGCGTAGGATAGCAGCGGAGTAACGGACCTTGGTGGAGAGAGAGACGACGGAGAGTTACGACAGAGTGGGACGACAAAGTTAATAAAGAGCAGCCGAGCTGGAGAGAGAGAGAGCGGAGAGGAGAATCGCTGGAGGAGCAGAAGGAGAGCGAGCGAAGCCAGCGAAGCCAGCGGAGCGCAGCGAGCGAGCGGAGGGACATTGAGTGATGTTGACGGGGAGTTGCGAGTCGAAGTGTACGGAGTGATGTCGACGGAAGAGATGTGGAACTATATAAGTTAATAAAGAACCAAAGAAAGACAAAGAAGCTGTCGCTTCAGTACGAGTCAAATACGTGAAACGTAACTCTTAAGAGAGATTAAAGCCATCTTCTTGGCCTTAAATATACATTATCCCGAGCCTTGACACTCGATCATATTATGATCTCTAGCAACATCTCTCTCGCTCTCAAACCTTGACACTAACACAAGCCAAGACTCACACTTACTCTAGCCACAGCACTAACCCTGGCCGAGACCCCAACCCTGCAGTCTCTACCTATTGGGTTGCTTACAAATGATGGGCCGTCGTGTTTACTTGTGACTCTCACTTTACAGGATACCCAGGTCAACTTCACCGTGCACGGCTTCTTCAAAGAGAGTGAGTATTTGCATAGTCACATTCACCATCAGCTTTGTCATCAGCAGTAGCATCATCAACAGCATCACTGACATTGCATTTAACTACACCAGGTGCATTCTGCACTGCCTGCCATAAGCACCACCTCACCATTCTAATTGATCCTGCCATGCGGTTTATGCTAATGGCGTGGCTCTCTCTTGATGCCCGTGCACCATTGCCGTGTGTCGATCCTCAGCCAAGAATTGCCAAGAGTCTGTGAAGATGTTTTGGCGGGAGGTGCAATTGGTGCCAACCATGGACGGCAGGTGAGTCACTTGCACCATGACCAGGGGCGGTGCCAGGATTTTGACTTTGCGGGGGCTGACTTCAATATTCTGAGATATCCAATGAATGTTTTCCAATGGGTGCCACAAATGTATAAAAACAATTTATTGGATTTGAACTCGGCGAGCTGACATGCCCATCAACTGCTGGACAATATCGGAGAGATTGAGGGACTTCGCGATAGCCTTCTCGATGTATATCACCATCAAGTCGGCCATCCAGTCTTCGCTCATGCTGGTGCGCAGCCGCGTCTTCAAGATTTTCATGGCGGAGAATGCGCGCTCGGTGGTGGCCGTAGAGATCGGGAGAGTCAAGATCAGTCGAATGGGCTTATACAACTGAGGAAATATGCTTACAAGTTTGTGCTTGCAGAAAACGATGCTCAGTTGCTTCAGATTAGATTTGACTGGTTCAAATACGGCGGCGTTCTCCTCGTCACCTGTGAACATGACAAACTCAACAAGTTCCTGTTTAAGCGAAGTCAGATCCAGCTCTCGAAAATTGGCCTTGTACATTGCCGCCAACTCAATGATCTGCTCTTGATTTAACTGGTACGATTCGAAGTTGTCAACTGGGTCGAGGTAAGGGATCTTACTGAGCAGTTCACAGGCATCGGGAGAAAAACGATGGTTGAGTTCCGCTAATGTGGAGTCAACAACAGCATTAAACAAGTAATAGGTTTTTACCCTTTCAACTGGTACAAAAACTGACACCTTTATACAAGGCATTATGTTTGCAATAACCACAACACAAGCAGTCAAAATGCAAACAAAAAGAAACTCTAATGATGATGATAATGATATGCACTGTCCTTGAAGTGACGGCTTTTGGCGTCATCTGGTCCAACACCAATGGAGACTAGGCTCTAAGAAAAGCTGTCTCGGGTGTGGACCAATAAACTTCACACAGGGATGTGTTCGTCATGCGAACAAGCCTGAAAGCATTGAGAATATCCTGGTCCTTTCTCTGGAGGCATTGGGATAGGCTGTTCGTTGCTGATAAGATTTTGATAATTAGGTACATGTTCAACGCAAATTCAAAGGACGTCGCCCGCTCATAAAGCATCACCGCTTCAGCCCTTTTCTCGGAATCGGCAGCATCCGTCGACGCCCATTCAACCACTTCCATCGCGGCGTTAAACATGTGAAGATTCTGGACCGAGTTCAATTGACAGTTCCAGCGCGTTGTCGACAGTGCCTGAAGATTCTGTTCCTGATTCTGTCCACGACCGGTGTTGAGCTCACCGGCATTCAGCTGATCAACGACATTCTTGGCCTGAACATCACGCAGCATATCCTTCCTCTTGGACGATGCACCAGCAACGTTATAAATACTTTGGACGTCCAGAAAGAAGAGGCAGAGTATTGGATTTGACTTGAGAATGGCAACAATTACAAGGTTCAGCTTGTGCGCCCAGCAATATATGAACCACGCGAGCGGGTTTGTGCGTTTGCCTGGATCTCGTTAAATAGTCACCATAGCACCGCGGTCATCTTGAGACGACCGACTCTTTTTGTGAGCAGGGGATTTTCCACTATCATGTGACGACGGACCCGAATCTTGCTGCAATTCCAAATCCTCCAGCTCACTTCCTGGCTGATCACTTTCTTTATCGCTTTCCGAACCAATTTCTGGATCTGACTCTGGCACATGTTGAGGCTCAGGCACTGAAGGTGAAAAAATAGTCAAGAGTTTTTGCTGGTCGCATTGTGCTGTCAGCCTGTCAGCCTGTCAGCCCGCTGCTGCTCACAGAGTGAATCCGAATCCCGATTGTTCCAGAAGGCCGTGGCGGACGTGTGGAGTTTATTAATAGGTCGGAGCCGCTGATATGGCTAATAAGTTCGAAAGGCTGCCGCTCAAGCAGTCTGCAGGGCAGCACAAGGTGGCAGCCAGCATTTTGCGCAGCCGGATATCCGGTTATCCCGATTACCAACTTTCCCAAAATTTCAGGGGGGGCTGAGCCCCCCCCTCCAGCCCCCCCTGTGGCTCCACCGCTGACCATGACCCCACACATCATAACAACCGCCGTTCGCCACGAAGTGGCAGTGACATCACCACGGCGCTTGTGCCAGCCTATGTGCACGTTGAGGCCACTTGAAGTGTTGAACGCCCGCTGGCAGGAGGTCATGGGGCAGACCCAGGTGCTACGGGTCGACTGAGATAGCTGGCCAATGCACCACCTGTGCCCCCTACTATGCCAACTTGCTGTTCTTTAGCCACCCAGTGCTCCGCTCGTTTTGAGCGTCACTCCTCTGCCCCATTGTTGTTGGAGGGCGACTGCCTCAAACTACCCAGTAGCATTCTTCATGAGCCTCCTCCACAGAGGCCGATTTTAACACCGCTGGTACCAGTCATTGGCAAGTCCACTCAGATCCACATCCTCTTGTACCATATCACTCCATCTCTTCTCTAGCCCGTTCCGCAACCGTTTAGCCCCCTCTAGCCAGCCGGACAAAAGCTGTTTAGGCATGCAGTGGCTGGGTATACGGGCTACATGACACATCATATACACACAGCCACAAACGCACACCATGTTTTCGCACACATACAATACACGCTTTCCTGCTTCCCTTTCCTCTGCTCCCTCTCCCATTCCTTTGCTTCTTCCTTAACGAGGTTGCATACTCTTCTTTGATTTTCCAGAAGGCAGTTCAGCAAGTGTGGACTAATCTCCATCTTGCCTTCTGTATGGGATAGTGTTGACCCCTTGCTCATGTATGTTTTATTCAGGTGCTCCATTAGCTTGCTGTTTAACTAAGTAATGTGTTATTATTTTTATTGACCTGCTTGTGTTGACACTCTGCAGGCCGTCTGTTGCGAGTGAGCGGATGTTCATCCGCGAAGCTCTTGCAAGTGAGATGCCCCCTGCATTCGCCTCAACATCAGCGACGTCCAGCAGCTGCCCGCTTACTGCGCTCACCTCGTCCCAGCAGGAGATAGTTAATTCGTTCGCAGAAAAATCCCACATGACACCGAAGTGGTCACAAAGGTGGGCGAGAGCACGTGGGATTCTCTTACAGCCACACACATGTGCACACACGCATGATGTCATGCTTCATTGCAAGAGTAATCAGACACAGCCCAGCAGGAGCCATTTATTCTGCCAAACCCTTAGAGGGGCACCAGGGTCTTTGGACTCGGACTGTTATGTCCTTCCTACCCCTTCACTCCCCCCTACCCCTTTTGTCCACAGCTAGAGGAAAGCGTCAGTCATTTTGTAAAGATTATTAAGGAGACAATGTACACTTGAGGTGGCTTACTCCGGTCCCGAGTTTAAACGATAATTTTTGGTACGTTTCGACAATTTTTGTACAAACACATGGCCATAAAGTCGACTCGAGTGAGGGGCGACTTGACGGTGCGTCTCCGCTGCGTTGACCCCGTGATCTCGCGACGGCGCTCCTCCAAGCAGTGCGGCTCCCCTCGGGAAGCGAGCCAAACGGCACTGTGTAATGGGGCTGCACGGTCGATTCTCACCGGGAGCTGGCAAGAACCGTTTCAGGTGGCCATAGGAATCTGGTCCACAGCCCAGGCACTAGACTTGCGAGCTGGACTGTGGAAACAAGGCACTGACATTCTGTTTGCCTCCCGTCCGCGCTCGCCTCCACAGATGCCTGGAGCGGAACAATTGGGATTTCTCCAAAGCGGCCGACGACTTCATCCACCTCTACGTGAGTACCGTGCCGCCCACAATCCTGACCGACACACGTAATCGCAACTGTACCGGCGTGTTCACATTTTGGCGACCGTCCCTAATGATGCCGCTTGTCTCCCTCTCCACTCTGCTCCCGCCTCTCATTCCCTCATCGCAATCGCTGCTCCGGTTTTGGCTGCGGCTCCTGCACGGTCGCCAATCGTCGTTCCCGTCGTCAGGAAGCAGGGAAGATTCCGGGGGAGGCGTTTCTGTGATGAGGCGTCATCCAGAACCAGCGCCCCACCAAATGGACCCTGACCACAACATTTATTTTTGTATCAAAACCGTGATTTTCTGTATTATAAATGTAAATACATATTCATTATATTATACATTTTGGCTGTAGTTGTGACATTTAAAAAAAAAAGCGTTCTTGTTTGGTGACTGAATTTAATGGTGTATCTGTCCCCGGTGTAATCAGCACAGACCGACCTCGCTTAGTGCTCACTGGAATAATCAGTTTCCAACACCCTTATTACTTAAGTATGAGGGCTTCATTGGGGTATTGGTAAAACCGATAATACAGATTGTAACCATTTTATAAAAATGTATTATAGCATCAGTATTATGTACTGTACCTCATTTTAAGGCTGAGTCGACCTCGTGAAGGCCCAAGACCCGTTAAAATATGCACCACTGTTATTGGTATCAAGTGGGCATTGAACTTCATTTGCCAGGTTCACAGGACAGTGCGCTAAGCACTGTGCCACCAGTCCCCATGAAGTTATTCCCCAACAACAGCAGCCGCTGCTCACTACTAAGTGGTGGTGATGTCACCACAGCGCCTGCACCATGAAAGGCGTACTTTGAGGCCATGTATAGTGTCGAATGCTCACTGGAAGTTGAACAGATCCAGGTGCCATGGGTTGACTGAGATGACTGACAAATGCACCACCTGTGCCCCTTACTGTCACAACTTGCTGCACTGTGCTCGCGGTTGTAAGCATCGCTCCTCTGCCCTCTGTTGTTGGTGGAGGCTGACTGCCTACATCTCCCCAGAAGCTTCCTTCACGAACCTCCTCCACAGAGGCCGGTCTTGACACCGCTGATACCGGTCATCAGCAAGTCCAATCTACTCCACATCCTTCTGTACCACCTCAGTCCATCTCTTATCTGGCCTGTGCCACACCCATTTATCAGCCCCCTTTATCCGACTAACAAGAATCTGCTTGGGCATGCGGTGGCTGGGCATGCAGGCTACATGACCCCACTCATGTCATCATCCACTCACATCACAGAGACAAATATCCCACGTATAGCCTTAACAGACTTTTGGGGAAAGTGCTGTTAGCGAGCACACACTCACCCAATCGCCAACACTCACATCGCATTCAGTTGGCTGACCAGACGATTACGTAAGGTGGGTGTCATTGTGCCAGAGGACGACATGATATCTGAACAATGAACATGTGTAACTACATATCCATTACCCACGTGTATCCCGTAAGGAGGTGTATTCCCTGGTTAGTCTGCTCCTGGTAATGGTTTAGTTTTAATAGCTTTAGATGGAAGGATTGGACCAACAATCTCGCAAGTCCTGACATTAACTTTTTTTTTACATAAATGAGATTATTTAGGAATACATTTGTGATTATTAAAGGGTTTATTGGTTACTCAGGAGCTATTCTTAGGTTACTATTCAGATGCCAAATTAAAACTGTTCATCAGGGAGAATATCTACATTTAATTCTCATCATGTCCCATGGTGTAAAAAATTGCAGCCTACAACTCTGATTATGCACTTAGTATCTATGGTCTCTCTATGTGCTATGAAGAAGGGTCATTGCCTATCATATACTTTTCTAGGCCACAGTGTTATGGACAACTGGAGTTTTTCATAATTGAGTGACTGTGTGGTCAAGTCAGGTTACTGGGTGATGTGTGATTGAGTCGGTCAGTAATTTAAATGCATGTGAGGTGGATGGGTTTTTGGATAAGCAAGCGATTGATGGAACGGTGTGAGTGAAATAATAAATAACAGAGTGGGTATGGTGAGTGCGGAAGTGTTTGAATGAGTGGGTAGTGAGTGTTGTGCATGAGTTTGTTAAGAAAGAGACAAACAAGCAATGCGCAAAATTAATGAGTGAGGTAATGGAGTAAACACGAGTGATTTATTGAGTTGGTCGATAAGCAGTTGGGTGATTAGATGAGTAGAATGAGTGGGCAATTGAGGGAATGGATGAGTGAGTGCGTGAGTGAAGGAACAAATCAGCGAACTGCTGAGTGAATGGGAAAATGAGTGAGTAGGGTAAGCATGTGAATGAGTTTTCCTCACTGAGTGTTCATATTTAGTGGAATATTTGCTCCCAGACTCACATTAAAGGGCTGAGAACGAGGAAGGGGACATACTGAGATGGGCAGAGACACGGGGAGGAGAGGGGAGAAGGATTACTCGAGGCAGGGAAGGAGGGAGACAAGGGGGTGAGAATGAGGAGACGTAGTGATGAGAGGACACAGCGAGAAGAGAAAGACACAGGGAGGACAGGGGAGGAGAGGGCAGACAAGTGGAGACACGTGGAGGGACACTTGGGGAAGAGGAGGGATACAAGAGAAGGAAGGAATCGGGGAGAAGGCAGACATGGGGGGTATGGAGGCACAGGGAGGTAGATGGATGCACGGGAAGATTTTTTTTATAATCACGTAATAAAGCTATGCTATAGGTGAATGCAGTAAGACCTGTGTGTGTGTATATATAACACAGTTGAGAGTCAGGTGATGTGCGAATGTCTGTACCTCATATTCTCCAGGTCCTGGGCCCGGGGTTGATCGCTCAGGAAAGCGGTCCCCACGGGACACCAGCAGAGTCAGGCGAGGGCAAGCCTGAGGCCTCGGTTCATAATGGCCAGAGCCTGGGTAAATGGTCAGAAGTGGTCAATATCACGCGATAATAAATACTGTATACAGAATTAAAGCTTTCGTGACTGCAGGGATTCATCTTCTTGGTTCTTTCGGTAAAGTCACGTAGAAGGGAAATAATACAATTATAAAAATAAAACATAATAATAAGTGCTGTTAGGGAGCACCTATGAAGGTCAGCACAGCACACGAGGGGGTGGGTGGCCAGCACCACCCCAGGCCGCCTTTGTCTCCCGAGTGGCGATGTTTACACACCGCACGAGGTGCTCATTTGAGACTGAGTCGACCTCGGGGAGGCCCAGGACCGGTTCAGATAATCGTCACTGGTGTTGGCCGTGAGCGGGAATCAATACCCAACATCCACAACTCATCCAAGCACAACTACCAGAACAACTGCCACAACCATTACAATTTACTCTAATCACAATGCAACCGTGACAACTAAAACTACCACAACAAACAACCACGAATACAACCATAACTACCACAACCGCTGCAATACAAATTTATGCAACCACAAAAACCACACCACAAACACAACTCCAACAACTACCAACACCACTGCAACAACAGCTGCGACAAGTACAAACACTACTACGACAACAACTACCACTGCAATGATAACCACCACTACTACAACAACAACAATACCTACAACACCCACACCAGCGATTACAACTACAGCAGCTACAACATCCACAACTACAGCACCACCACCACTGTAACAACTGCAACAACCACTGCTACTGCAACTACAAGCGCAACAACTATAATGGAGACAATTACGACAAAAAACGCAGCAACATCAACAAACACAACCACAATTTCGTTCGTTTCCCAGTCAGCTTGTCCTGGTGAGGGTCGTGGCGGCAGCGTGTTGAGTCGGGCGGTACAGACCTCCCTTTCCCTACAACCACAATGACCACAACAAAAGAAATCAATACTTGTAGCAACCACTACAACTTCTACGAGACCTGCAACTACAACAACTGACATGACTACTATCGCAACAACATCAAGCACAACCATGGCTACTGCCGCAGCAAAAACATGACAAGGACCACTTATTAAAACGACAGCAACAACCACAACCTCTACAACTAACATGACATCAACCCCTAAGGCATTAACCACAACCACCTCAACAACCATCGAACAAAGACGGCCACTGCATCGTGCGCTTTCAAATGAGCATCTACGGCCGTCTGGAACGTTCTTCCTTTCCCATATTAGGAAGCCATGGGAGTTGTGCACTTTGAAATCTTCTACAATGAAAACGCATTTGCTTAAAGCTGCTTTTTTTGCATAGTTTGTTGTCTTCCCCCGCACCTCTGATAAGCACGTTTGGCTACGTACGGTGCGAAAGAAATTTTTTTTGGCTGTAAAACACTGTACATACAAACATCAATTACAACAAAATCCACAACGACGACAGTAATAACTCGATATACGAAGTAAATGTGTTCCTGGAGCTTCGTTAATTGAAACTTCATATATTGAATAAAGTATCACAGTAGAATGAGGATGCGCTCCCAGTCTTCGTACCTTACTATTTAAAACTAGACGAATAAACATTTTAGAACTTACCATTCATGTTGAAAACAAAGACAATTTATATTGAAAATAACATAAATTTTATATTGTACGGTATAAAAATTAAAAACCGACATTGATGAAAAAAAATAAACGTAGTGAAGAAACGTAATTTTATTCATATTTTTTTGCACCACAGACCGATAAATTCAATATTTATTTATGAAATGTTTTATTAATTATTCACCTTTTTCCATTAAAATAACGGAAACGGATGCAAAGTTCGTTATACTGAAACTTCGCATTTCGAATGTTCGCATATCGTTGTTTGATCGCGAATATTTATTTTCTGTCCTCACCTTGGTGTGTGAGAGAGGAGAAAGACGCCGTCCCACCACTAGATCTGCTCCGAAAGAAATGGATGGCCCCTAACGCAAAGCTGGTAGCCAGCGATCTGTGCAACAAAACACAAATGTTGACAACACCCCCCACCACCACCACCATCATCGTGCTGCTGTCAAACCCCCAATGGCTTCCAATGTCTTCTTGGTTCTTTCGGTAAAGTCACGTAGAAGGGAAGTAAAAAAATAATAAAAATAAAACATAATAAAATAATAAAAATAAAACATAATAAAATAATAAAAATAAAACATAATAAAATAATTCTCACGACGTTTCGGCCACAACGCAAGCAGCCGTCCTCAGGTGAAGAACAGGTCTGTCGATAAGACAGAGTCTGAATGACACGTCCTGGGCTTGGGGCGTCTATTTAAGCTGGGAGGGAAGAGGAAGAGCGCCTTGACAAGAGAATGTGCAATGTGTTGCGGCACTCACACTGATGATGTCCTATCGGCGAAAGTGGCTGAACATTTGAACATTCGTGAAGAGCCACTGATGTGTGGTCACGTTCTGCCCTCTGGCGGGCACACGCAGCAACAGCGCAGCGTGAGCTGATGGGCGAGGTG